AGATTTCAAACCACAAGATCAGCAATTTGAACCCATATGCCACTTTGTGGAGAAAGATGAGGCTTTCTGTTTCTCAATGATTTGCAGCCTCTGGAACCCTACACAGGATAGATATGAGTCAGAACTAACTAGACAGCATCTTACAATAATAACTTATACAACAGGTCTTAATTAAACACATCTTCTTTTATTCTGATCCCAGTTCAGGCAAAGTAAACAGATAAATGGACTCCTGGTATGGTGATGTAGGATTAGCACTGGACTGGGAACCACAAAGTCAGCAGTTCAACCCCACCAGCTGCCTTTACACATGCCATTGCTTTTAACACAAAAGTTAAGTGTTTCAGCAGAAAACTTTGTTGCATAATAGTCTTTTTAGGAAAAATCAAAACTCATAATTCAACATAATCACAGGGGAAATTACTTGAAGTTGAATTTCCTTCCACTACTCATCTCAGAGCTTAGGAACTTAATATCCAATCCAAAGATATCGTCAGACTCATTTTCAAAGATACATGAGATTAATTGTTGTGACCACATGCTATTTAATACTGCTTATGTGAGGTGTGGTGCTGTGGACTAATGTGTCAGACTGCAAAGCCGTTTGAACTGCAAGGTCAGCACTTCAAGCTCACTAAGTGCTCCTCAGAAACTCTATACAGGATTGCTATGGGTCAAAACCGACTCGACGGCACTTAACAACAACACGAGTTTCTACTCTCTACTACCCTGCCATATATATTCATTTTTTTATACATATTTAGCTAAGACCTAAAATATGTATTGTTGATATGATAGTACACTAACCAGATGAGATTTTCCTTATCAAGATGATTAGATGAGTACATTATAGCAGAATTGTTGGCCACCTATTCATCAGCAATTCTTTCCCGTTCCTTTATATTTAAAAGAACAATTCTTTCTTCATGGAAGCTGATAAAGTTATCTTATTTTTGTATGAACACAGGGCTTAGTTTAGAAAGACTCAAAAAAATCTTCCAGTACTAAAAGAGTGTGAAGCTGATACTAGAGGGTAAGTGCACACTTCCGATCTTCTGTGTCTTTGGACACAGTGATATTAAGATAGACCATGTATCTTTAGAACCATCAAGTCCGAGTTGTGGATGATGGTTACGGTATGCCGTGAAGTTGGTTTTGACTCATAGCGACCCTGTGTAGGGTTTCCGAGGCTGTAAATCTTTAGGAGAGCAGAGAGCCTTATATTTCTCCCTTGGAGTGACTGGTAGATTCAAACTACTGACCTTGAGGTTGGCAGCCCAGATCATAATTCACTACGCTCCCAGGACTTCTTAAGTTTTGGATGTTGTTGTTGTATTGTGAAGTGCTGTCCAGTTAGTTCTGACTCATGGCAACCCTTTAGGGTTTTAGAGGAACGTCTGTTGAGTTTGAACCGCTGACATTGCAGTTAAAGCTGATCTTATGGCCCTGTGCTTATCCTAGAAAGCCACACCAGGACACCTAACTTGTGGGTGTTATTGTTGTTGTTAAGTGCCGTTGAGTCTGTTCCAACTCAGCGCAACCATGTATAGGATTTCCTAGGAAAGACTGGTGAGTTTGAACAGCTGATCTTGCAATTCAAACAGATCTTGAGGTCGAGTGTTTGTCCTAGGTGCCATGTTGTTGTTAAGTACTGTCAAGCTTTGTTCCAATTCATAGCAACCCTGTATAAGGTTTCTAAGGAAGCAGCAGGTGATTTTGCAGTACAGTGCTTTAGCCCACAGTGCTATCTATACAGGACTGCACGGCACCATTTGTTGTTGTTCAGTGCCGTTGAGTTGGTTCTGAACCATAATGACCCTGTATAGGGTTTCCAAGGAACAGTTGGTGAGCTTGAACCACCAACCACTCAGTTCAAACGACTTTGCGGTCTGACGCATTAACCGACAGCACCCATGTTGTTGTTGTTGTTAAGTGCCGTCGAGTCAGTTCCGACCCATAGCGACCCTGTACAGGGTTTCCGAGGGTATAAATCTTTACGGGAGTAGAAAGCCTCATCTTTCTCCCGCGGAGCGGCTGGTAGTTTCGAACCGCTGACCTTAAGGTTCACAGCCCGATTCGTAACCACTACGCTACCAGAGCTCCTTGACAGCACCCATAGTGATATGGAAAAGTATGAAAACAAAACAAAAAAAACATACAAACATCTGTGTCCTTGATGACTAAATCAGTTACAACATCTCCATGCCACTAAACTTCTTGTGATTTGAGTTAACAAAAACCTTAGAGTTAAATAATTTTTTGAGAGGGTGGGGATATATGCTGAAGATGTTCTAATTTATGCAACTTCCTGAGAGCTGGTTTATTCATTTTAAATTCTCCTGATTTATTATATAAATGTTTCTCTAAAATTACATGAAGGAGCAAGACCCATAAAAGATATATCTCATCTTTCAAGTCATAAATATTTTTAATGAATCCTGATGTAAGTAATTTCTGAAAGTTCAGAAATTACAAATCTGCATTTGACAACTGACATTTTGCAACGAGATAAATCACCCAGAATTACTGGAATTTCTTATTCTTTTCCCACAGTTTTTCTTTCTAAAACTCTTTCATTTGAAGAATAAAATTCAAAAGATTCAAAAAGCCTCATATAATTTTCTAATTTTATATAATTTTCTAAGGCAAATATATTTAGCATATGAGCTCCAGGGACTCAGGATTTGTTTTATAACACTGCTAACTTTATTAAATGAAGCTAATTGACTAAGGAACTAAGGATTTCATGCATATAAAAACATCCTCCCCTTTTTATTCTACCAGCCTCAATTAAATATTGTTGCTGATCTCAAAAAGTTAAGACCAGGCTGATTGTATGAGGATAGGTTGAATTCAAGAGTCTCAGAATGGAAGATTGAAGGACCATAGCATATACTTTCAGTTTATTTTTTTTAATCTTGTCTATTTATTACATACAACCAGCTTCTGCTAGTACTTAGGGGTCCATAAACATCAATGAAAATTAATCCTCAGCTTTCTGGAAGTGCTAGAAAATATTTTGTTAAAGAAATGACAGTTAACATATTTATGAAAGAGCAGATGGCAAGAGGTGCCCAGATTAATGCTTTACATAGTATATTTAGTAAATGTTGGCTGAAATTATAGAAACACTTTTCCAAGACACTAAATTTAACCAAGCCCTGGTAGCATAATGGGTTACACATTGGGCTGCTAACTACAGGATCAGCAGTTAGACTACACCAATCACTCCAAGGGAGAAAGAAGAGCCTTTCTGTTTCCATAAAGATTCACCCTATCCCAGGTCGCTATGACTAAGATCCAACTGGACAGCACACATCTACCATCATCACCATACTGGGTATCAGATTACTACTATAACAGTGTTGTAGGATTGGACATTGTTACGTTCTGCTGTGCATGGGGTTGCTATGAGTTGGTTCCTACTCGATGGCACCTGACAACAATAACAACAACAGCTTAGAAGGTCAGAAACCTGAAATGATTCTTGTTGTTGTTAAGTGTCATCGAGTCAGTTCTGACCCATAGCGACCCTGTATAGGGTTTCCGAGGAGCAGGTGGTGAGCTTGAACCACCGACCTTGCAGTTCAAATGGCTTTGCAGTCTGGCGCATTAAACCACAGCACCACACCAGGAGTCCATAACGGACTATAAAATCAAGATGACCACGGGATTGGTTCCTTTATGACGTTAGGTAGTTAGAACAGGGAATAGGAGATAACCACAGATCAACCACAAATAATGTAGAAAATGACCTCATCTGTAAGGAGAGTGTATATAGAGTCACAGTCAGTTTAGACTCATAGTGACTCTATACACAAAAGGAGAGATAGAAAATGGGACTTTCACCAAAATCAGGCATTCACAGAGAAAATTCTCTGATTTAATGTGACCAATAAACTAAACAGAATAACACTATAATAAATCAGCATTATGGTTATCATAAATACAGTTAAACCAGATGGATATGATGGGAAAGAAGTACATCAAACCTGAGGAATAAATGATAAACTGTGAGCTCTAAATTATGATAGGAAAGCATAGGGATCAGGAGACATCTATCAGGAGATTCAAAGCCCACCCCAGGGGAAAAACAGCATAAAAAGTGAAACCAGGAACTCACTAGGCAATCTCCTCACTCAAGAGGAGTAGCTCATTCTCTCTATAAGAACGTCTATGCTTCATAAACACTTTACTTGCTTAAACGTCTGTCTCTCTGGCTCCATTTGTGTGAATATTGTATGTTGTTATGTGTCATCGAATATTGTATAAATCTTACCAATTATTTGGCGAGACAGTAAGACCTAACTAGGTTGCATCATTACATTCATCTGCACTGTGATAAGGAGACTCTGGGGTAAAACCATTTTCTTGCCACCCCTACCTCTGCTATCATCACATAGACTTCCCCCTTTGATGATTTCTCTCCCTTATTAGGATCCTTGTGCTTCAATATAGGGTCTAACTGGATAATCCAAAATAATCTCCCCATATACAAAATCCTTAATTTAATCATGTCTGTGAAGTTCCTTTCAAAGTTTAAGGTAATATTCACAGGTTCTAGGTTTTAGAAAGTGTATACATGAAGGGAACCATTATTCAGTTTGTCACAATGTCTGTAGACTTTGGATCATCTAGTAAATTAATTTTAAATGATTCAATACAATGACTGCATAATACAGAGATTTATGCAAGGAAATCTGGAAGTCAAATATGTAGGTCATTAGTTAACTGTGTCCCTAGAAACTTTTTTACTATATAAACATTCCAACACTGAATAATTGAAGTTTTTAAAGGACTTTAAAACACTTTGTAATTATGCCTGTCCTTGGTTAAAAGTATACCTAGGAAATCAGATTTGGGGGGGGGGGGAATGATAACATCTTTAATGTAGTAAAATCCAACTCAAATTTTATAAATATGCCAAAATCAAATTTAAGCTGAATAATATTTTTGCTACTTTAGATGTTGAGTACAGGGCAAGGGAGGAGTAATCTCACCTTAAATAGTAAATCCTTCTTCCCATAGCGAAGCTCCTTCAGCTGGGCTTGGATTTTTTTTGACTGCAAGAGGATAAACATGGATTAGTATCTTAATTCATTTCTATATTCAAATTTTAAGATTAAAATACTTCGAGAATAGACATGAGTGAATTCTGCAGCCAAGCAAAGGAAAAGTCCAACTAATTTGGAAATGAAACAAATGCTTATTCCCTATGTAATAGTGAAGGTACTGTGTCAGCTTGACTAGGCTGATTCCTAGTGGTTTACCAGTTAAAATGTGCTTATCCCCATGGTGATGAAATCTAATACTGGGATAGTTAACTATATGATGAGTGGCTATGACCTGTCAATCAATTGAAGGGATGCTTTCTTGGAGGTGTGGCCTGCTTTCAAAATAATGGACAAGTGGGAAAGGCCCCTGCTCTCCATTTTCCTGGAGAATTGCTGTTGTTAGGTATCATCCAGTCAGTTTAGACTCATAGTGACTCTATACACAATAAAGCCACACACTGCTAGGTTCTGCCCCAGCCTCACAATTATTGCTACACTGAGTCTTTGCTGCTGCCATTGTTCTAATCCATTTCGTTTTTTTGGGGGGAGGTCTTCCTCTCTTTTGCTGACCCTCCACTTTACCAAACATGATGTACTGCTCCAGGGACTGGTCACCCCTAATAATATGTCTGAAGTATGAGAGGTGAAGTCTGGCCTTCCTTGCTTCTAAGAAGCATTCTGACTGTACTTCATCCAACACAGATTTGCTTGTTCTTTTGGTAGCCCATGGTATTTTGGTAGCCTGTGGTAATTTAATATTCTCCTCCAACACCATAACTCAAATGATCCAATTATCCTATGATCTTCCTTATTCACTGTCCAGCTTCTACATTTATTTTGATGTTATTTATTGGTTCAGTGGTGAAGATTTTTTTTGTTTTCTTCACATTGAAGTACAAACCATACTGAAGGCATTGGTCTTCATAATTACATACTTTAAGTCATCTTTATTTTCAGTACAGACGGTTGTATCATCTTCATATTGTAGATTGTTAATGAGTCTTCTTCCAATTCTGATGCCACATTCTTCTTCACATAATCCAGCTTCCCGAATTATTTGTTCAGAATACATATTGAATAAGTATGGTGAAATAATACAATCTTGGTGTACAACTTTCCTAATTTTAAACCATTTAGAGTTCCCGTGTTCTGTTCGAACAACTGCCTCTTGGTCTATTTACAGACTCCTCATGAACAACATTAATTTTCCAGAATACTCATTCACTGTAATTTCATCCATAGCTTATTAAAACCTTTGTAGTAGTCAATAAAGCATAGGTAAACATCTCTCTGGCATTCTCTGGTTTCATTCAAGATCCATCAGACTTCAGCAATGGCGTCCCTTGTTCCATGTTCTCTTCTAAATCCAACTTGATCCTCTGGCATTTTCCTGTCAACATATAGTAACAGCTGATTTTGAATTATCTTTAGCAAAATTTTACTTGCATGTGAATGATATTAATGATATTGTCTGGTGATTTCTGCATTCCACTGGGTCACCTCTCTTTGTAATGGGCACAAATACAGATGTCTTCCAATCATTTGGCCATGTAGCTGTCTTCCAAATGTCTTGGCAAAGATAAGTGCGGGTCTCTAGTACTGCATCAGTTTGTTTAAAGACTTCCATTTGTATTCCATCAATCCCCAGAGCCTTGTTATTTACCAATACTTTCAGTGCACCTTGGACTTCTTCCTTGTGTATCATTGGCTCTTTCTTGATTGTGTACTACCTACTGAAATATTTGAACATGGACCATTTCTTTTTGACACAATGACTCTCTGTATTCCTTCCATTTTCTTTTAATGTTTTCTACATCATTCAATATTTTACTCATAGAATCCTTCAATATTGCAAGTTGAGGCTTGCATTTTTCCCTTAAGCCTGAGAAATCCTAAGTGTGTTCTTCGCTTTTGAGTTTCTAACTTCAGGTCTTTGCATAATTATATTTGACTTTGCCTTCTCAAGCTGACCTTTGACATTTTCTATTCAGAGCATTTACCTTCCTCTTTTCTTCCATTTGCCTTAGCAACTCTATGCAGTAGAACAAGTTTAAGAGACTCTTCTGACATCCATTTTGGTCTTTTCCTTATTTCTAAACTTCTTAATGAACTTTTGCTTTCTTCCAGTTAGCTATTCTTGATGTCATCCCACAACTCTTTTGGGTTTTGGTCATTAGTGTCTAATGATTAATGCATCAATTTTGTTCTTGAGACGATGTCTAAATTCATATGGGATATATTCAAAGTTATATTGTAGCTCTCATGTGCTTGTTTTAATGTTCTTCAGCTTCAGCCTAAATTTGTATAGAGCAATTGATGGTCTGTTCCACCTACTGTCCTTATTTTTGTTGATGACATGGAGCTTTCCCACCATCTCTTTCCACAGATGTAATAGATTTAATTTCTGTATATTCCATCTGGTGAGGTCCATGTGTATAGTCATAATTTATATTGTTTAAAAAAAAGGTATTTTCAATGAAGAAGTCATTGTTCTTGCAAAGGTCTTATCATGTGATCTCCAGCAGTGTTTTTATCACCAAGACCATGTTTTCCAAGGCCTAATCCTTCCTCTTTGTGTCCAACTTTTGTATTCCCATCACCAGTTATTGATACATCTTGACGGCATGTGTGATCAATTTCAGAGTGAAGAAATTGTTAGAATTCTTCCATTTCATCATCCTTGGCTTTAGTGATTGGTGCATAGAAATGAATAATAGTTGTACTAACTGGTATTCCTTGTAGGATTATGAATATTATCCAATCACAGATAGTGTTTTACTTCAAGATAGATATTAAAATGTTCTTTTTGATGATGAATGTGACACCATTCCTCCTCAATTTTTCATTCCTGGAATTAAACCATATTATTTTCAGATTTGAAATGGTCAGTGATAATCCATTTCAGCTCATAGACATGTCTAGCCTTCACTTCATAGGAATAAGCCTTGGGCTGATTTTGAATTTGATCCTCTGTCCCCTTTATGAAGTTGGAAAAAGTAAAACATAGCCTACACATGACTTTTAAAGTTGATGTCAGGAGTGGGTTTTGTTGCAATGGCTCCAGACTCATGTAAACAGGAGGTTTAACAAACTAAATAACTAAGGGGCATAGGAAGTGAAACTTCTATTTATAGTTGGTTAGTTTGGATTTTGTTACCTGTAGTGATTGTTCTGGTAGCGTAGTGGTTACGAATCGGGCTGCTAACCCTAAGGTCAGCGGTTTGAAACTGCCAGCCGTACCGTGGGAGAAAGATGAGGCTTTCTACTCCTGTAAAGATATACACCCTTGGAAACCCTGTACAGGGTCGCTATGGGTCGGAACCGATTCGACGGCACTTAACAACAACAACAACAACAGTGATTGAAAGGAATTTAGGGGATAGAACACTTCAGAAGAGGGGATAGCTGCAGGATTTGGAGTTGCCTAAAGCAGGTGTCATGATGCTTGACTAGATAGCTAATGGAAGGACAAGACCTACTGTAATTCACCTTACCAGAGGCCCAAGGCCATATTCATATGAATGGGGTTAGTCCAAGGGAGACATTGAACTTAAGTGTTTAATATGGTTTATGTGCTTAACTTCCTTATTGATGCTGGTGTCTTCTGGAAATGAATATAGGGAATTATGATTACAGAGAGTTTATAAGCCCACCTTCCATCTGTACTTAATTGGATTTGTTAAAAGGGGAGTTAGAATTTGCCCTGAAAGAAACAGTCTTTTTGCTTTAAACCTTTACAGAGTATTGGACCTTAGGTGGAATCTTGAGCCTACCTAGAACTTTAGAATTGGGAAATTTGTATAGGAAAAGACACGCAGACCAATCCATAACTGCTGGTAGATCAGGAGATTTATGACTAAAAGAAAGCAGAGGAAAAAAAGTGGACTTTTGGAATTTTGAACAAGCTGTTTGCTTTGGAGGCCTCAAGGCCAGCAAAGTCAGTCCATCAGAGAAAATTGCCTTCTAGAAAACAAAGTCAAAGGGAACTAGTGAGCTGTATGTTCACTGGAGACCACCTGGGTCTTCTTGTGAGTGGAATTGGGGAAAATGCAGCAATAAAGACACTGGCTGAGGCCAGACATGCTCTATTGACACCCATTGACCTTGAGCTGAGAGACAGAAGAGGAAGGGCTGGCTGTTCTGAAGTTATAAGAGAATTATGTGAACTCCTGGTATCATAGGCACTGACCTGATAGCTCAGGATTAGAGTGAAAGGCCCAGCCAGCCTAAGTGCAGGAAAGTTAAGTGTGAACTCCCAAACTTGCAGCTGGTAGTCATTTGACCTAGTTTTGATGACTAGGGCTGAGTTGTGACCAGACCACACACAATCAGATGAAAATAAAGATGTTTGATATTATGAGCAAATGTCAATTACTATATTTGATGAACTGAACTTTTGCTTATTGATGCAGGTGCTCAAAATCCCAACCAGAAGACTCTTCAGATCAAGAGATGTGCTGCTTCCTTCATGTACTGTGTTAATAAGAATGGTAAACTTAGACATTGGTTATCAAAGATAAGGGGCTATAAAGGTGTGACAAGGCTGGCTTACAAGCTTTCATGGTTGTGATTAGGTTTAGAATTAGGAAACTTGGGTTTTCCTCTTTTCTAGATGGATCTGGTTAATGGGAGTAGATGCTGCTGCTGATAAGATTTTATGGTTTCAGTTGTGAGTACTATTTATAGTATCAAATGTGAGTGCCAAAACTGTAACTGTAGAAGATGTATAGCTAAAAGTGGGGAGTTCTTAGTCTTTCAGTTCAGGAACAGAGGGTCCCAGGTCCACAAGAAGGAAGAGCATTACTGTAGCCACATGGAGTCCAGGTGTGGTGCTGCAGGATAATGCACTCGACTACAAGGTTGGTTTGAACTGCAAGGTTGGAAGTTCAAACTCACCAGCCGGTCCTCATAAACAGAGTCACTATGAGTCGGAACCAACTCAACGGTACTTATCAACAACATGCCAAATGAAAGAAGTCAGTTATAAACAGCTACATACGATACAATTT